CAGGAAATCCTTGTAGTGAAAGCTAGCTTTGAGAGCGTGGCTTGCGCCCTTGTCGACCACTACACCACCTCCATGAAGGATCTCGATCTTGGACTGGTAAAGCAAGGGATATTCACCCCAAGGAAAGTTTGGCTTCAACCCAAAACCGCAGACTTCTCAACCAGGGAAGGGATATGGTTTCAGAAGATCAGCCCATATGGCCCACCCCGAAGGGAACGATCCTGGTGGGAAGAGCCCCAAGGCTGGAATGAAGATGATGGGATGAACCTTCGCACATATTGGTTTATTTGCTTGGGGAGGTTGAAAAACAAGAACAATTTCTAAACCCTAAACTTGAATCCGAATATGGTTGGTGTGATGGTGTTGGTGAATCAAAGGCTGTTGCCATGAATGCCGTGGTAGATTTCCCAGACGACGGCGATGAGCGCCAGATTGGAGATGCAATCCAATTGCAACTTGCTGCTCACGCCGCCTTCGGCAAAGCCAAAGGCAAAGGTTTCAAGGGCATATGCAATAGGTACTGGTCAGGAGTCAACTGTCGCTCGAATAGAAGCCTGGCAGATTGATTCAAGTCAAAAAGAGACCGAGGTGTCTATACCTTGTTCCCAGGGGACAAGTCGCAGAATGTGGATTTCAGCGATTCATCATCCGCTGATGGAGTGTACATAGGAGCATCATCTCCGAAGATCTCAATTGCCAAAATGGCAATCCCTTCCTCCGATTCCAAAGCAAGGCCCGGATCAAATCAAGCGTGCTCACTCCCATCAGCGTCAGCATCCGCGCCTGCCGCTTGTGCGGGCCTCGGCCCCAGCAGGGTCCCGGAGAAGAGGGGAAATTTCAATCTTTTGCTGCTCCCATCCCTGTTGTGGGACAATGGACCAGTGGTTGTCTTGCTGGATGGCATGTCGTGGTTCCAATCAAGTGGGTCGCTGTTGGGAAGGCAGAGCATAAGAAAGGTAGTCCAGGCAACGCTCCTGAGTGGAAGAGCGAGTTCGCGTGAGTTCGCAGAAAGTTTGAGGAATGACTCGCCCGCTGTTGATGGTTGAATATGGTTGACACGGAATGACGCGGACGTCCATCTGCTGCTCTGTTCTTCGGCATCTTGCCATGGAGCCCACTTACATTCAGCCGACATTGCGAGTGCTTACTTTCAAATGGAGAACTTCAAACCGTGTGCTCCTGATGAGCCAGCCTCAAGGCGGTCTGCCCGGGGTAGATCCCTGAAGCTTTGTTGCTGACCCGCATGCCCGGTCATGGGTTGACCGGCCGGGGAGTTTGGATACAACTTGACGGTGGTTCACCTGCTTGAGGCTCGCAAGATCTATCCAGCACCTTGCTTCCTGCCTGGTAGCGACGGCGACTGTGTCGCATTGCTTGCTTCACATGTGGGTGATTTTTCACCTTTTTTCCTGAAAGGAGAAGAGACTGTCAACAAGTTTTTCCAGAAGGTTTGTCCTACTGCAGAAAGCAGTTCCGCTGTGAGCCCAAACTATCAGCGTTGATGCCGCCGACAACACAGGAAAAATTCGCGGCATCAAGTTTGGCGCTGGAAGGCCGCATGTTGAGGTTCTTGAAAAGGACGGCCTCACGAGTCTCACGAGATTGGGATCTGTGGCGGGATCTCTTGCGTCGGTCACACGCCAGGCACTGCCAGATCTTGCATACAGAGTTTCTCGCCTTGAATATCCTTGAGTTCGTAAGTGAAAGGAGCCACTTTCGCTACTTTGCCAGGGGCGAGCAGCGTCGTTGATTTGGCCCATTATACCACATGCATGATGTCAAGCCGCGCTTTCCACTCAATCATTTGAGCTGCAGTGAGCTTGCGGTCCTTACAGTGACCGATGCATCATTGCAGGTGAAGACGGATGCAAGTCCCAGCCTTTCTTGCATTGAGTATATTGATTCAAAGAATGACCATTGCGCAGTCTACAGAGCACTGGTTCTTGCCTTCAGTTCTGCATTCATCCTGAGGGCTTGTAGGTCAACACGAATGGATTCGAAGATGGAGGTAAACTCCGTGGAGTATGGACCGAGTTGTAGGGGTAGATTGTTGAGCTGAAGACATGGGAAGGGGACGCTCGCAGCGCCATCCCGCACCCGGCCTTTCACTGAGTGTCGCAGCATTGCGGCTCGTAGAATTTGCACACGCCACGGCATTGAACTGATGTCAGTTTATGCAAGAACCTGGGAAGAGGGCGGGCGCACATGGGAAGCAACGACTTGCGGTGATAAGCTTTCATGGATTTCCGCCCGCGCGGCATGGCTGCGGATAGCTTGACCAAATCTATGAAGCCCGACCTGCTCCTGAAGGTCCTGCGGGAATGCATCATCCGAATGAGAAGAACAAAACAAGGCAGTCAAAAGAAGTTGTTGTCGAAGTGGTAGTTTAGACACCGCCTAGGATATGCCACCCGAAGAACAAGTTAAGTGTGAGTTTTGCCTCTTTCACCTCCCGTTTGTACAGCCAGGTTGGCATAACCTTTCCGCTGCCATATCGGGTCGCAGGGCCCTTGAGCCTAGAATGCTGAGAAAAGGCGTCATTTTGCAACTGTGGACTGCCGCAAAATACCGTTGCCTTCCGTTGCCAAGTCGCACATAGCATCGCAACTACATATTATACCTTTCATGCCCCCCATTTGCTCATAATTGAGATGCCTCAAGCCAGCCAGGCCATAGACCCCTCGAAGGAGGACTCCCCTACTGTATGGCGAGTGTGGGCTGAAGGCTCAGTTCTCACATCTTCTTCCTCTCAGTTGAACCAGCCAAGACGATGCTTTATATGCTTTGAATGTTAGTGGATGCAGACATTGAAGCATGATGTTGACGCGCCCGCGAGAGAACCTTTCACGGATTGTTGGGGCCCCGCGTAATGGCATGTATTGTATGTATGGTCTTTGACAAAGACTTGGACATGCTATGAAACAAATGCCGTAGCTTCTGACTGCCCAGATTTCATAATGTTCATGTTCCATAGCTACATCCGCTCTGAATTTTGTCACTTAGACACAGCATATTTGTATATAAGTTTGTCGGGCTTCAATGTTTTCATCTTGTTGCCGTCAAGAATTCTCATGACCAATGCTGGTTCATGAGGGTTCAGCCTAAATACGCCATATTTCCAGAATTCATCTGGTAGCTGTGACACACTTGCCCCACTGATCCCCAGATACGGAGGGCCCAAGACTGGAACATGACAAGGCCAAACAACCAACCGCGCCAGCCGCCAGCAACTTCTTCGCAGGTGATCCTGCAACCTGACAAAAAAATCACTTGAAATACTGCGCACATCTTTGCAACATACTGTACTTTATTCCCCACCTGCCAGGTGAGGGTTGTTAGATTTTATGTCAGTTGCCTGCTCCTCTCCTCTCCTCCTCATCTCCTCCTCCTCTCCTCCTCCTCCTCCTCGTCGTCCTCCTCGTCCTCCTCGTCCAACTGCGACCCGCGATCCACAGTGTTCTCTGTCGGACCTCAACCACGACCATCCACGCCCAGTGTTCCCTGCCGGACCTCAACCACGACCATCCCCGCCCAGTGTTCCCTGCCGGACCTCAACCACGACCATCCACGCCCAGTGTTCCCTGCCGGACCTCAACCGCGAGTATCCACGCCAAGTGTTCCCTGCCGGACCTCATGTAGGAAGATATGGGACAAAGAATGTGCAGAAGAAAGTTACAAAGATAGAATGCCAGAAGATTTGCCGGATAGAATGCCAGAAGATATGCCAGAAGATATGCCAGATAGAATGCCAAATAGAATGTCAGAATATATGCCAGAAGATATGCCAGATAGAATGCCAGATAATATGCCAGAAGATATGCCAGATAGAATGCCAGATAGAATGCCAGAAGATATATGCCAGAAGATATGCCAGATAGAATGCCAGAAGATATGCCAGATAGAATGCCAAAAGATATGTCAGAATATATGCCAGAAGATATGCCAGATAGAATGCCAGATAGAATGCCAGAAGATATGTCAGAATATATGCCAGATAGAATGCCAGATAGAATGCCAGAAGATATGCCAGATAGAATGCCAGAAGATGCCAGAACATATGCCAGAAGATATGCCAGATAGAATGCCAAATAGAATGTCAGAAGATATGTCAGATAGAATGCCAGAAGATTTGCCAGTAAGAAAATGTATAAATTTGTAAATGTCATGGTGGGGATCACACGAAGTAAAGTAATTTTTTCATAGTTTGATTTCGGTGTCTTATTTCTGCAGAGGCGCCATAGCAATGCAACTGTATTGTGGGGCCTTGTTTGTTTGAGTGCAGAACCACCCAGTGCCCATTGTGTAGAATCTGGAGGCCAAAGAAAGCGCAGAATTTCCAAACACGATATGTGAAGAACGGGAAATTCAATGCAAATAGTTTTGTTGATTGCAAAATTTATCGTACGGTATGTAACGCTAATGAGGCACGTGCTGCAAACCCAGAAGGAAGGAATCCAGTACTTGATCGCCCTTGGATTCAGCCATGTTTTAATTTGAGTTGCAAACAGCATCAGGGTCGGTCAAGAAAATGGAGGAACTACGTGATGCAGAGGGCTGGGGAACTAAGCGGTGACAATTTGATCTTTTTGTAAACAAAAAATACAATAACAAACGCCAATGTCAAGACCCAAAACCGACCCATCTCGCCATGGAGTAATTGAAGATCCGAACAACAGACATGTCGACTGATCAGCTGCCTGCAATATCAAACAGCATGTTCATACTTGAAAGTTCACAGGTAAACCCACTGTACTTTCATGCATGTATAGCATCCTTCCTTTCAGGTCATAACTTCATGGATTTGCCAACAATGTTTGGCTCAAGATGCCCTTAGAAAAAGCTGCTCTTGCGCTTGTTCTCTTGGTGGTGTATTTTTTTGTTCTGTGGTTGGTCAGACCCCAAATTAGTTGGTTATCAGCCGTATTGGCTTTTTGATTGTTGACCCCCAAAAGCATCAACTTTCATATTAAGGCTGCCAGGTGCCTCTAAACCTGGCTCTCATGGTTGGTCGCCCTCGGGAGCCTCGTACACCATCGAGGTCTCCAGCTGCCGCAGACCGCTCTAAGGCGACCCGTAGGGGCATTAGAGCTGGAAAGTCTGCACGACGAAAGCGTGAAGCCTACATCACGCAGCAGGCGCAAGCCACTGGCCGTGACGAGGCTTCCATTCCCGTCACCCACACCGGAGGGCAGCAGCGCCCACTTGGGACGAGTGTGCTTTGGGAGCCATCATCAGAGGACGACAGCGTTCAGGGTGAAGTTGTGATCACTGAGGAGTCCAACATCGTCTTGACGCAGCAAGTTTCTCCTGCTTGGTTAGGTCCTCGTCCAAAGTCGCATCCTAAGCTTTTGCAGGCAACTCCAAAGTCACAGGTGACAAATCCCTTTGATCAGATTGGAGGCCCAGCTCACAGGGCAGAGCTCTTGCGTCGGAATCCAGGGGGTGAGGCATCTTCGTCAACAAGTCGACCGGTTATTGATTTGACACAGGAAACTTTTCAGGTGATTGGAAATATTTCTACGTCAGATTTGGTTGACGGTTTGCGTTATTGTCATCCTCCACCAGGAGTGCCACTTAGAACTGGAAATCCGGGTGGACTGAAGAGCATAACCTGACAGGAAACTTCGGAAATCTGCGGAAACGATTCATTCCTGGCCAGGGGCTACGATTCTTGCATTTGATTATCACCAGGTGCTTGACGTCGACCGCCCCAGCAAATACAGGACAGTGCGCATCGAGGATTTTCTCTTCCCGGAGCGTCATCGACAAACTCTCCAAAGAATCAGAAATCTTTTGGAGGATCAAACTCAGGGGAAAGTCAAACTGGTTCTGGTGTCACACATACACGACTCCGAAACTAATTTGAGGAATCTTCTGAACACGGTCGAAAGATCACAGTCGCCGTTTGTGCTTGTAACAGTTGATCGGACGGGACGTGAAGGAAAACTCCAGTCGTTAAAAGATCTTGCACCGGGAGGACGATTTGCGATTTTTGACGGCAATCAGCATATTTTGGAGGAATTCGAAAGGTCCCATCATTTGGCGTTTCAGGTCAGGAAACCCGGCCAAAGAGCAGTTCTTGATTGGAATTACGTCACTTGGTCAATTTCGGAGCCGTGGATTTTCGATCGCATTGCGCAGTTTGTCCGATTTCAGTTCACTCGTTGAGTTGATTTTCAGTTGCCAGTGAATTTCAATCATCCCGCGTTGTTTGGCTGCTAAACGCCACTTCGTGTGGTATCAGTTTTTGGAGTTCAGCGCATCCGTTTCCTTTTTGACAATCCGCATTTGTGTATCACTGCAATCTTCTAGTTCGTTTGAGTTTTATTTGCATCCTTGTGAGATTTCACAGTGATCTTGACCTTTGTGGGACTTTGCAGAGGACAGCCCAAGTGATTCGCTGCGTGTGTCACCGCGTCGTGTCACCGCATCGTGCAAGCTGTTTCACTGCAATTGTTTCACAGCAAGGGTTGAGTAACAAGAAGTTTCACTGCGTGGATCTTAATTCGATTTGATTGCATCAGATTTGAATTCATTTGTTTGCGGATTTGTCACGGAGTTTACTTTTGTACCGCTGGCTGCTCTGCGCCGCGGATTGGCACTTTGCCATTGCAGTTCGATTTGATTGGCACTTTGCCACTGTAGTTTCATTTTATTGGCACTTTGCCACTGCCGTCCCATTTCTTGGCATTTTGCCATTGTATCATTGCATCCGAGCCTCTCAGTGATAGGCCGCAGCCAAGTGCCTCCTGAGCAGTACCGGCCTTTTGGACTTTTGATCCGAGATCAGTAGATTTGGATTTTTGTCCTTTGTCATTCTCAACTTTCATAGTCCATGTCAAGTTCAGATCCTACATCGAATCTTGAAAGTTTGAATATCAGTAGTGAGTCAATGGATGTCCCAGCTGTTGTTGGTGAGGCATCTCAAAGATCCAGCAGAAGCGCGTCGTCGACTCCCCGGCGTGCCCGTTCCAAAACAACCCAGGGTGGTGGGTCAGGAAGAAAGCCAGTGTCCACTATCATGAAGGCGTTGCCCAGAGCATCCCAAAGTCGTGGTCCTTTGGTTCTAAGACTCCTGGTCCTGAACCCAATGCCCCAAGTGATGAGTTGGAGAGGTTGCTTGATGAGAAACTCCCACCAGGTCTTGATTTTGAGTACGAATCTTCGATTGCATCACATGATCCTCTCGACGATGATGAAATCCCTGAATGCCCATCACCATCAGATCATGATGAATTGTACGCAGCAGAATCTCAAACTAACACTTCTCCACACCAAGCCCTCCATGAGTTTGATACTGATGATGAAGCAGATGATAAATCTCCTGTCGCAGGTTTAAGTGCTGTAGCTGGTATTGCTTGCGATGCGGCAACCATCATGCCACAGGAACATGTTCAGGAGATCTTTCAGGATGTTTTCAATCAGGGGGGACAGACTGGTTGCCCCGGTGCCGCTGCTAATCCTGAGAAGAGGCCTCCAAAACATGGAAAGGGAAAACATCGTTGCCCTGGTAAGGATGTTTTGTTCGAGTTTGCTTGCGCCAAGGATTCCAACCTTGGTAAAGTTGGACATGAGAATGGGTTGAGAGTCATCCGGTTGTGAAAGGAGGACATCAATTTAGAAGATCCTCATAGCATAGAGCAACTCATCGCCCAGGTAGATGCTTTAAAAGGATGCTCCATCCACGGATCCATCGAATGCAAGCCATGGAGCCAGTGGCAACACTTTAACCGGGCCGTAACCGGGCAAAATATCCAAGACTTGCTACCAGGATCAATCAAGAACAAGTTGAAAGTGCTGCTTTAGTAGAACAATTTATACGTGTAGGCAACGTTTGCCTTGACAATGGAGGGGATTGCAGCTTCGAATGGCCACGCTACTGCACAGGCTGGGCACTACCATCAATTCAATCATGGATTTTGGACAGGAACTTGCATTCTGCCACGTTCAATGGATGCACGGTTGGAGTTCAAGCCGATGGTCAGCCTGCAAAGAAGCCATGGAGATTTTTGACATCTTCAATGCGTTTGGCCAAGAACCTAGCAAGCCTCAAGTGTACTCGCAGCACTCATGCTCCACTGCAAGGTAAATGGACTAGACTTTCAGCATTCTACCCAGAGCCGCTTTGCAACATCTTGATTCAATCACTATATATTTCCTCACATCATCAAGCAGCACGTGTGGTCCATGCCATGTGTTGCGAGAGTTCAACAGGCTCACAGACAAAAGCTTGTTGCGGGGTATCCTTCGGTTCCCCTCGATGTTGCAATGTCAAATGTGGGTTGCAAAGAACTTGTAACACCTGCCTATGTTCATCGCCTTCTTGATCGCAGTGCGTGTAAGGATCGACCTGAGGTCCTTGAGGCCATCAATTCTGAAAAACAGGGACTTCTCGCCAACGGCACGTGGGATGAATCAAAGATCCGACCAAAAGCTGAAGTTCTTGCCGAAGCTCGTGCCAAGGGTCAAAAGATCCATGTTGGAGCCTTGATGGTTATAGTTAGCATAAAAGGGTATGAGAAGTCGCCTGCAGAATGGTCAATCAAGGCTCGCATTGTCTTCAGAGGAGACGCAGTGCGGGATGAAGAGAACCAAGCAGCGGTGTTTGATGAACTTGATGCTTCTGCGCCGACGAGTCTTGGAGGACTAAATCTGGTGATCGCTTTTGGACTTTTGGATGGACACACCTGTTCGACCTCAGACTGTATCAAAGCCTATGTCCAGAGCTTTCTTGACTCATCATGCCCTACGTACGTTTTGCTTCCAGCAGAGCTCGTGCCTGACTGTGCTCGCCGCATGTATCAATCTGTGGCACCACTCATCCGATCGTTGTATGGTCATCCTTTGGCGTCAGCATCATGGCAGAATCACCTTTCGAATATTTTATCAACTCATCTTGGTGGCTATGAATTGGAAGAACAGCCAAGTTGTTTCCATTTTCCTGCTTTGAATCTTGCTCTCAGTGTTTATGTTGATGACTTAACATTGAGCGGACCAAAGAAAAACCATTCACAGTTTTGGACAACGTTGCGGAAACACGTTCAACTTGAGGACCCTGCCGAACTGTCAAAAGTACTTGGTAGGAATCACGTTCCTCAGGATCAGGGGGGTCTTGCATTGCATTCGGCAGATTTTGCCAAGCAGTGTGTTGAGCTTTATGAACAGCTCTCAGGCAAGAAAGTCAAACACTTTCGCACTCCTCACTGCGATAGTGGAACCCTTGTTGAATCTGATGATGGATGTGTAGGACAGCTTTCAGCTTCATCCGCTCGCTTGGTCATGAAACTGATGTGGTTAGGAAGGATAAGTCGCCCAAACATCCTTGTCGCCATCAACACATTAGCTCGACACATTACAAAGTGGAATGCCAACGATGACAAGAGAGCTGCACGTCTTGTTGGTTACATTGCTGCCACCATTGATCACGCTCACATCATGCGTATCAATGACCCTCCAGCTGAGCTGTGGTTGTCGCTTTATGTTGACAGTGATTTCGGTTCATCACCTGACATGAAGTCGACAGGTGGTTTTCTTCTCGCTCTTCAAGGCCCAAACTCATTCGCTGTCATCCTTTGGGGATCAAAAACTCAGAGGGCGGTATCAAGATCGACGACGGAGGCTGAGTTTGTCGCTCTGAGCACTGCGCTGTTTGGGGATGCCATTTCTCTTTTGGCTGCTTGTCAAAAATTAATTGCGTCCACGTCTTGTGCTTAAGGTCTATGAGGATAACCAAGCAGTGCTGGCGATAATCGCCAAGGGCTACAGCCCTAAACTCAAACATCTGGCCAAATCCCATCGCATCAACGTAGCGAGCACTTGCGAAGCCTTCTCGGTGGAAGACATCCTCATCGAGTACATCAGTACAAGCCATCAAAAGGCAGATGTCATGAACAAGGCTTTGCCAGTGTCGGTCTGGCCAAATGTTTTGGACCTGCTTAGCATCAAGTCTGTTCCAGTCACTTAGATTTTGTTTGCTTTCTGGTATGGAAGAATGCGTGGAGCTTTCTTCTTATACCTCTTCTTCACATTGGTTTCGGATTGTCCTGAGTAGATACAGATACTGGCTTGGCATCAGCATACGAAGGCTGCAGAGATTCATCAAAATTCTCTTGCATCTTCAGACCAGTGTTCGTGGTACGGGTGACCACATACCCATTGACTATTCCCAGAAGGTCCAACGCGGGTCCAGCAGAAACCACTTTTGCTGTGGCTTCGTTATCCTCTCGGATTAACAAGCGCACTGACTTTTTGAATAGGACTGAAAACAGCTCAAGCAACGGCAAACCCTCATCAAATAGAGTAGTAGCCATAGCTGCAGCTTCAGCTTCAGTTGTTGATCTAGAGACCGCACCCTGCTTTTTGGACATCCAGGTCAATGGAAAACTGGTATGCTTTCCACTCAGTTGTACCCACCCACCAGTTGTGGAATATGTGTGCTCGTCATCACCACAAAAGTCCGCATCGCAAAACAGTTAAACATAAATGTCATGCAAATCATCACCTACGTGGCCAGTGAGTAAATGGTCTTTAGTTTCATTCAAATAACTAATCGCCCTGAAAAGATGGTTGTCACACTCTGTGGTCCACTGCTGCACCTTAGT